ATCTTCTATCGCTATCCTCATCACCTGACTCCACACTCGGAGTGCAAACGTGAAGAGGCTTGCACTCGAGTTCTTCTTAGGCTGAAAGATCACCGTCTTGCTCATTATTGAGGCTCGTGAATTGTTGCGCTAGCTACTGTACTTGCCTTTCAAGTTCCTCAATGATGTCATCTATATAGGATCATGTAGTAGATCTACGAAAATCTCCCTTTTATGACCCCTTCTCACTGCTATAAGTTTGTGAAATCACAAACCCTAGGTAAATATTCAACAAAAATGTATTGAAATCAGCAAGATCTAGGTTGTTTTGACAAAACTTTGGCCAAAATCAGCCCTAGACCCCACTATAACTTCCTCTCTTTGTTGTTGATATAGGGCACAAAAGTAGTGGTGCTACAGTAATTCCGTACTTGCTATAGTAACTTCTGTACCTGCTACATTAACTTTTGTACTTGCTATAGTACCTTTTGTGTAGGTCACGGGGTCTGATGCCACTTTATGTAAGAGCACTTGAAGAAACATAGAAAATAAACAAGAAACACTTTGACACAAGCAATTTTGGAGAAACCTTAAGGCTTTCTCCTACCTAGGGCTCAAGCCTTAGGCATTTTTACAAGACAAAGTCTTTTTTTTCTTAAAAAGGAATACATGAATGCCTCTCCGGCCCATCGACGCCCTTATTTATAATAGAAAATTATTCTTTTGGACAATATTTGTCCATATAATTAAGTTTTAACCAAAAGGTCCTAACTTAAGTATAAATTTTGTAATGATAGTTTTACCGCTGTGAATAGTACCCATGAACAATACTCGTGAATAGTAATCATGAATATTACTCATGAAATAAATAAAAAAAAACCCTAGAATTCCTAAAAACTAAAAACTTTAGAAACAATTTTCCCCTCCATCATTTGATCAGACAAGTAGAGCCCATTGACTCCATGCCTTCTTCAATTTTACTACCAATTATCAGATCCTGAATAACACAATGTGTAGGATAGTCATGGAGCAATTTTTGTTCTTGTTAATGCTACTAACAGAGAGAATATTAGCAGAGAATAAAGGCACATGGAGAACATTTAAAAAAAAAAACTTGGAGAAACCTACATGCTCAACTTTGAGCAGTTGATCTATCAAGAAGAAACATAGTTTGGGGGGAAAGATAAGAGTATGAAAAATACTTGGTTTCAATGGTTCGGTTGCCATGTGATCAGTACGTCTTGTGAATAGCACTCATGAACAGTACTGCAAACAGTGCCTGAACAGTACTGTGACAATACCATTAACAATATAGAGTGTCAAAACTAGAGAGAGAAAGGGAAAAGAAGAGGCCGAGAAAGACAGAAGAGAGAAAAGATGAAAGGGAAGAGAGGACAAAGTGACATGAGATTCGTTCACCCCATACCCCACTAATATCTTTATTTATAATGTTTGTTTAGGGTTTACAAAGGACAGAAATACTCTCAATGAAAATAATCCTAAACTATATAGAAATGATAGAATTCCCCAATACAAAAACGAGTTATTCTTTAACATGGCCCCTCAAGCTGGAGCATAGATGTCACCCATGCCCTGCTTGGAACAAATCTGCTGAGTTTGATTATGACTAATCGCCTTGGTGAATATATCAACCAATTGATTTGATGACTTTACATATGGGGTTGTTTTTTGCGTGCGGGTCACCTTCTAATGAATGAAGTGGCAATCCACGTCAATAGATTTTGTTCTTTATGAAAAACTGGATTGCTCGCAATATGAATGGTTGTCGGATTTTCACAGAACATCTTCATTCGTTCAGTAATTGAAAAACACCCATTTCCTGCATCAAGGTTTTGAGCCATATTAACTCACTTTCGTATGAGCTATAGCTCTATACTCAGCCTCTACACTAGATTTGGCTACCACATTTTGTTTCTTGCATTTCCAATTCACCAAATTTCCTCCAACAAAGGTGTACCAGCCTGTAGTAGATCTTTTATCTGAAGGTGATCCTGCACAATCAGCATCATAATAACTCGCAATGTCAAAGTGACCATTCTTCTTCTAGATAAGTACTCAGCCTGGGGCTTTCTTCGGGTATCTCAAATGTTTCTTACTGCTTCCCAATGTGGTGTTCTGGGAGAATACATAAATTGATTGAGGGTATGGCCCTTGATAGAGAAGAATGGAGGAATATGATTTGTGTAGCCAACCCCAAATTATTGGGATAAGGCTTGGATGATGATGATGATGAACCATGTAATACAATTCATAATTTGATAATTCAAACTCCAACTTAGGCTCAATTAGTCATTGGGACTCGGTGACTCCAGTCTACCAGGTTGGTCAAGCACCCTATAACAATAAATTAATTTTTTATGAAGTAATGAAAATATAAAATAAAGAAAAATATAAAATCTTAGTCTCATTCCAACTCTATATTCCCGTACATTCAATTAAAAAATTAAATTCCTATGCATATTCACTTTTATGATTTATCATTCATCATATGTTTTATCCAAATTCGAAATAAAATTTATTTTATGAAAGGTCATTCTTAATGTAAAATCCAAGTGCTGGTGATCCCATAATCCTATCAATCATTGTCTAAAAGTAAACATTCACATGGATTGTAGTTCTTTTAACTGGATTACCTGTTACTGATGAGCTTCTTGTTGAATTTTATAAGGACCTGGAAATCTCCTCCAAGTCAGATGTTTGTATAGGATTTAGTTTACGAGGTAATGGACTTGCATGTTGGACCAACAGCTCCTCGAGAAAAGGCTTGTTAGATGCAAACACATCTGTTCAGTACTGCCATTTTCATGAAGCTATATGTGCTCTGTATTCACATGTAAACATTGATAATACAATGTTTGCACATGTGCAAAATCTAGACATATGTCTACAAATTTGACGCACATACCCAAATTCTGGACTCGTGTATCTTAGTATTTGGACACCCATTTTCATGCCGCCTGCTTCGGGGGACATTATTTTTCACCCAGATATTCATTTGACATGTTCTGGTACTTGTTTCGAGAAAATCTTCACATACAATTCCACATTTCGTTTCTGTGGGTATGTACAGAACCAACTATAGGGATTCAATTTGGTATGTGAACAGTTTTGGTTGTACTGATGATACAAAATCAACTGAAAAAAAAAAAAGGAAAAGAAAAAGTTAGAAGTCCTATTCCCTGTACTCTGGCTGATTTCGGTAATTTAGCCTCAAATTAACCCCCAAGTTCAGTGATGGGGTTGTTAGGGTAGTTTATGGCTGAAGTGTTAGAAGTGGGATGTCTGTTTTTGTTGGGACTGTTCTGGGATTTTGGTATTTATGATGGGAGATCTATATGATTAGAATTTCTCACGAGGATATAAATAGTAGATAGAAGCTCATTTTCTTTAGTTTAGAATATTTGATATTTGTACCAATTTTGTGTGGAAACAGGCAGGGGCCATAGAGCCCTGGCTAGGAGGTCTCACACAAATATGGTTTGTTTCCCATGTTGATTCATTTCCTTTGCTGTACTTGATTTGACTCACAGTCCCCTCCTTTTCGACATACAATAAATGAAAAGGACAAACTCAAGAATGTCTAGCTATACTTCCCAAAGGTGTTGGCATGCATATCTAACAGCTCGATACATGTCTGACATGTTTCACTGGCAAACATCCTGAAACATGTCTGCTCATAACTGTGTTGCATCGTTTCGGATTATACCATGTTTGCATTTAGGAGGAAGTGTAGCCTTTTCCACTCAAGGATACTTCAAAGTTTTGGTTGTTTTAATTGGTTCTTTGTCTAGGGCAAGGTTATGATATGAGGAGCAAGGCTCTGAAATGAAAGTTCATGAAAAATTTGTAAAGTATTATTACAGGTTATGATTGAAACGAATTTTTGTTATGGTTTTATGAGCAACCAAATAAGGAAGCCTATGATAATAACAGAAATTTGGTCTTTAGGTGATTAGATGCATATGGACAAACTAACATTTAATGCCTTCGCCTACCAGGAGTATCAAAATTATGCCTTTCTATATTGGTTTAATTTATGCTTCATCACTTCATCTATATATTCTATGGTCTTTCTTTGTGGCCACTACTTGGATGATTTAACTCAAAGAGTTTTACAATCTAGCAAAAGCCTGGAAGAAATTGGCCAAATCTCAGAAAATAACCTGTCATAAAATCCCGACAAGCTTCGAAAATTTTTTATATACATAATTAATACGCATTAAAACATTTCTGAGGTATTATGTCCTTTTTCTTATGTATTTGAGGTAACATAAAGTTATAAGAACTTTACTTAACAAATAGAGATTTATTTCGTTTTTTTGCCTTTTCGTTTTTTGAGTAGTATAATATATATATATATATATATATAATTTTCTGGTAATTATTCAAAAAAATAAGCTAAAAAGTAGCAAGATAATGAGGACTCCCTAAAAAGATGGTATAGCATGTAGAAGACCTTAGTTTTTTTTTAAAGTTTTAACTGTATAAGAGACCTTAGTTTAAACACTTATTTTATATCTCATTTTTTAGTCTCCATTCTCCACTGTTTAACACTTAAAACAGTGGTGACATGTTCAACTCCCAAAAGAACCTAGTGTTCTTTATGCAAGTTTTTCTATTGAAAGGACCGGACAGAAAACACTTTTGAGGCCAGCAAGTAAATAAGATTTTATTCGTTCTAATAATAGAGCGAATTCAGTAAATTTTACAAAAAACCGAATTTTCTATGATATGTTTGTTACCTGTACTGTATTCAATTCATTCATCCTGTTAACTGTAGATATCATATATTCATATATAGGATTTTTTGCCATTTCTTGCTGTTGTAATGCACCCCCAGACATGTAGATTTACATGCATGGATGGGTACATAGACATCACTTTATGAGACTCAGGAGAATATCCTAGCTTTGTTTATTTTCTAAGTCAATAATCCTCTGTCAACAAATTAAGTGTGTCAATGATGGGTTTAATAACCCTGGTGAATATGCTTTTTTCAGTGCAAATTTTGTGGAAGGGATGGTAACATTGTAATGATCCCAGGACGAGGCAAACCATTGACTCTTGAAGACAGTGAATCTGGAAAATATGTTCCATTAATGATGTTTGACTGCAGGGGCTTTGAGCCTGTGGGTTTTTCTTTTAGAGATGGATGGGCAGCTGAATCTGTAAGTATATGCCTTAATAAAAGATGTTTGGCATAAGAGCATAAGAGCATACACAAGTTGATAAAACAGGTTTCTTAATAGCAAATTAAATTTATGTCGCGATTTTAGGCTATAAAATGCAAGTATAGGGTTTGTTTAGAAAGTTAATACTTTTTGTTATTCTTATACTCTTGATGTTATTGAATCATGTTGCCTTTTTTTTTCCAAGAAAGAATCTTGGTGCCTTTTTGTCTTTCTGTAATATGGACTCTTACCGATAGAGTTGCAGGAAATCATGCACTATTACTTCAACAGGCCCATTGCGTCATATGAAGATAATCTATCATGAAATAATGTATTTCCAGCAGGTTAACAACTTAAAATAATAATAATGTGTTTCCAGCTTTCCATCAGGTTGCCATGCTCGTTGATGACTTTCTATTCTTTTTTCAATTTATGTGGGCGAAATCCTTTTTTGTAGTATATGCAAATGATAGGAGTATTCCAAGGTTTAATTTGCGTCTGCCATATAGACTCTAATTGGGACACTGTTGAAATATACTTGATTTGATTGTTAAGTAATATACCAAAGGCTTCTAGACTGAATTTTGCTCAGATCAAAGGACTTAATTGGCTAGTTATGATAGTAATGCTTTTCAAATAAATGAAAATTTGTACATTTATTTTGCTCTACTTAACCAACTTCTCTTAGAAAGCAGCTGGTCATGAGCTGCTGAACTTACTTTCCGTAGTTTGGTTTCCTCCTTGAGGAAGTTGCCCCTCTTTGGTTAGAGCTTGAGCAGGCTGTAAGGAATGCACATTCCTAACAGGTGTCAAAAAGGAGCTCCTCATCACTTCATTTCTCCCAGGGTAGTGAGACAATTTAGACACAAAAGTAGCATGTTTTATGGGCCTCTAGTTACTAAATTGTTATCTTTGAAGCCTGTGGATCTTTTATGTGTTTTTGAATGAGCTAATATCTGAGACACGCGTCGACATTTGCATGTCAGACAAATTGTGGCACTCCAAAGACAATCAACTGAGTTACTTCTAAGTGAAATCTGGAAAATTGGTCCCATATGGAATGATAACCCATCAAACTCCTTTTGAATTGGGAAGCAACCCAAAGTTTTTTATACATTGGCACTCAGTTAATTTTCTCTTTTTAGATTGGTACAGTAGCACTCAGTTATTAAGTTATGTCAATGATACAATCAAGGGGGGCCATAGGTATGGAGCAGATATCATGGGAATGGATGATTGCCTCCTATAGATATAGTTCTTTCCCAACTCCCACTTGTGCAAGGGACCTCTCTGTTTGCTTCCCCAATCACTTGGTAGAAGGAAATAGACATCCCGTCCCTAATATGAAAAGTCTGTGTTACTAGCTTTTCCGAGAATAAGTCACTTTTTCCTCTGCCCATCTGATGATGATAAGCAAAATAGCCAATTGCCTTCAACCATGAATGAACCGCAGGAGGACTGAAAGAATACCCTAAGACCTGTCAAGAGGGCTCTATTGTGTGCTTTAGTAGAGTCGTAGTTGCTCTTAGGGTCAACAAGGATTCCAGGTACCTTGTCTTAGGAATCCCTGAGTAAGCATCAAAACCTTAGTGATCCTGGATTCTGGTGGGACTGCGGTGGAAACTTAGCTTCCAATAAAGGAGATGCTTGAAAGTTAAATCTTCTACAAAGATTGGTAAAGGAGCGAGTATTAAATACTAAAAACAGCTGAAGGAACAATAAACAGATTTGGATGTTGTAAAACAATTTCCGAAAGGTCACATAGGCCATGGAATATGGAGAGGACATGATTGTTGATTGAAAGATCTATAACCTTTCCACAGTTCAGCCTAAACTGAAAAAGTAGCACCTGTTAACTAGGAGACAAACGGTCTCTTTCATGCCATAGAAAGGCATAAAACATTGCATCCCTCGAAAACTAGAATGGAAAAGTTTGGGTTTAGCTGGTGAGTTTTTTAATAGAAGGCATGTTATAAAGGGGGGATGGCATTTGAGCTACTGGGTGTAGTTTTAACTCAATGCACCTTATGTGCATGGAAGAATCGAGGATAGCTTTCTTGAGATATTGTGAGGTGATCTCGACACTTACATTCTGCTCAAGAGGTACTGGAGTCATAATGATAGCCCTAAAACAATGTTTTAGTGGGAAGTTTTTCCCTTGGGCCAGAGTTTCATTCTTTATTGCTGGGTTGGGACTTGGAGTTTATTAGGGATTAGGGGGCAGCATTATGGGCGTCATCATGTTGGAGGGAGGTTATATGCCTCTATGAGTTTGGAGGCTGATACACAGACTCAAACTCGTCTCAAGACAGTCATAACCTGGTTTGTTGTCTGCTTTGTACAAGATTTCTAATGTGATAATGGCAATTAGTATCATACGCTTCTTTCCCTTCAATTTATGCTTTGATCAGAGGAATTCTCGACACTACTTTTCCTTCTAAAAATGAGCCAATCAGAATGAAGAAAACAGGCTAAGAAACGAGCACACCCTTAATGGCTCTCTAAATTCATTCATATTGATTTCATAGTTATACATCCTTTTGTGTTTTCTATCTGTTTTAATCATTTTAACACTTAATATGATGTTTATGTGAAACTTCTTCCATGTTACTGCTGGTCGTGTTTGAGGTGGAGAGATCTCCTAAGGGTGTTTGACTGATTGTCGTACTGTTCTGTTTTTAGACTTCAGGGACTAAATTTGGAGATATAGACTTGTCGGAAGGTGAATATGTGGAGTATGATGAGAAAGGACAATACCCTGTCGGAATATCCAACGTCCAAGAGAGATTTGTTGTCGTTAAGTAGGCATTAGCATCCCGATAGTTGGGAAACAATCAAAAGGAAAACTCTGATGGGCAAGCTTCACCATGAATTTTCTTATGATTTGGCCTTGGATATGGCTTTTGGAATCGCCTTCTGCATCATAAACTTGTAACAGATTCTGCAATTGGTGCTATGATATTGATTAACACATTGTTGAAGAGCTTTTGTAAATTATAAATGCTTGTCAGTCTTTTTGTCTTCATTCTTGAAGAGGCGTTTGAATCACCGAAGGCGTTACATGTCTTGTTCATTACAGAACTCATAGTTAGTCATGTCGCAAGCTTTCTTTGAAATGAAATATGGTGTCTTGAACTCAACTGTCCTAAACCTCATACTTGCACAGTATTATACCTCCTGCAGCGGCCAATGAAGAAAACGAAAAAATAAAACCACATTTGTATTGATGAGAATTTGTGCAACTAGCATTCAAGTCTGTCTTTATGATGTTGCATTTATCAATTTATGCCCCAATCTCTGATCCCTATGAACATGTGTGTTTGTGTGTGTGTGTGTGTGTGTGAGAGAGAGAGAGAGAGAGAGAGAGAGAGAGAGAGCTTCAAAAACAGTGCAGATAGTACCTGAAATATATCCCAAATCTTTTTATCTTGAGTCCAGCCTCAGATCCATGAATTTGAAGCTTCAAAAACAATACAGATATGATCTTTGAGGAATTAATATGATGAGTCAAGAAAAAAGTACAAAATGGCACCATTTTTATAACCCAAAATTCCTGTTCATTTTTTTTATAACCCGAATAAAATAACCCGAATAAGTCTTGGATGATGATGATTCTTAGAATGGTAAAGTCATCGTACAAGTCCTTTGCAATCACTTCCCTGATATTCCTCGCATATGAATATTACTATGCATTATTTCCTATCATGTTTGCGCAGTCACATTCTAACTAGTGTTAAAGAGTGTTGCATCACATGGGCTGGCAAAAAGATTCAAGAATAACAAGAAAAAACCACTAAAAATATGCACTGAAACTTAAGTGTACCAATAAGATTAAATTCTCAAACTCAACGAACTAAGTTTGTGTTTGGATTATTATTTTTTATTCTATTACTTTTCTGTTCTGGATTAAATGGTTTTCAATTGAAATTTTGTTCCTAAATCATATAAACTTCATATATCACATCATCATCCTTTGAACCTAATCCCAACTGTGGGGAAACTACTGCATAGAAATGGGTAGATATTTTGAAAATTTACCCAATAGCATGGCGTATAACAATGCCGATCAGAGATGGCATAAGGGGTAAATCAAATTTGAATGTACGTATTTCGTTTATTTAACATTTTATGATGTATAAGTTCTCGTCTTTCAACATATTTTTAGAATCTACCCAAAAAAAACATTTCATGAGAATAACACTATCTTGCTTATTCTTGTCGAGAAAACAAAATTATCTTGCTATCTTCGTTTCACCATATCCCATTCTCTTGCTAGGGTTTATTGAAATGAGACTTAGGTTCCAGCATCCCGATTAGGAAAGAATATTTTATTAGGGTGTTCATATTATAGAGTATTTTATAATTATACACTTATATACTATTGTTTTATAATACAATATTTTTTTAGTATCAGTATTTTTTATCAATTAGAAGCGTTTTGACATCATCCACATGGGATGTGACATCAACCACATGGAGCATCAAATGTCACTGATGTTCTTCATATGGGTGATGTCACATCCTTCCTAATGATAAAAAATACCCTTAATAAAAAAATACTCCATATACAAAATAAAAGTATGTAAGTGTTTAAAATTTGTTAAGTACAATTATAAAATGCTCTATAGTGTGAACACCTTAATATAACCCCCACAAAATATAAAAAAAACACATAGGCATGTGGTCTAATTAAAGGTCCAATTTTTTGAGTTACGTGCAATGCAAAACTTTCATGGTGATGGAAGATTTTTGTACTACTTTGAACTGTTTACCTATCTCCATGACCCGATTCTCTAGATGAACAAGCTTATATCAGAGAATACGGCATCAACCTTGCAGACCTTGGGTGGGAGGGGAGGGTGGTAGAATGTGGTATTCGGACAAAGACCCTTGTGTGAAGCCCTAGGCAAGATGGTAAAAATAAATAGTTAAGTTAGCATGACTTAATGGACTACTGAGACCAACAGGTTAAGGCTGGTCAAACAATGGACAATATTCCCTGTTAACATGTGCATGGTTCATGTGCAAGAGGTAGTGGACCATAAAACTCGTTGGGCCAATGTTATTGAAGCAAAAGTTAGTGCGGGATTCAGATTCAAATTATGTAAGTGCTTTAAAATAGGCTTGTGCAATGACTAGGTTGTGGGAGTGGATAAGTGCTTATATAGTGGGCCTGGGTGATATAAAAGTGATACAATGATCATGCATGTTTGAAATGGCATAACTTAATGCTAATACTCAAGTGCGAGATTTGAATTTAAACGGTATAATTGCCTCATCGTGGGCTAGTGCAATCACTTGTCGCGTTCATCACTAGTATTAAGAGAGATCAAATGTCTGAAAATGATATGCATGAACAGTAATGACTTCAAGAGTGGGAGCGGGACGACGTTACCCCACCCCTTCCGCGCTTTTTGGCGAATTTTTGACACCTGTTGAAACTTCAGCAGTAGTCAATCCTGAGAAGGATGAAAGATCCCTTTCATATTTACCTTAAGTTCGTCAGTTGCATCATCAGTTGCATCAGTGTACAATGAGGATGGTATGTCGAGTGTTATATGTTGCTCAACATGCAGACTAAATAGAGTCCCAACAAGATCTTTTAAGCCCTTGGTGGTCAACTAACAAAAATCCCTTTTCCTAATATATTTGGATCACTATGGTGAATCATTTTTATGACCATTATCATCCTTATGCTTTGGCAAATTAAGAGTGTCATTTTCTCATTAGATATGCTCTGGCAGATCATAAAACTTGTCTTCCCTTTAATCTATACCTCAAAGATATGCTATCAATTACAGTATTTTCTAGGCCCGTACTAATCAAAGCATATGTCATGGCAAGCTTTTTATGCTTCCCCTACGACATAAAACTTATATACTTCCCCTTATCCAACCGTCCACTCTGAATGGAGGGCTAAGATTGTCCCAATCACAATGTCACATCTCTACACTATTTTATTTTTAATTTTTCCTATAAATTATTTTGAAACCAAATTTTGTACGTCCAATCCTCTATTAAACTCGCACTAACGAAAAATATAAAAACAATATTTTCAATAAAATAAAATGACCAAAATACCCCTAACAGTTTCAAGGGGTATTTTGGTCATTATATTTTATCAAAAAAAAAATTTAATATTTTTTATAGGTGCAACCCAATGAAAATATGGCACACACCAAATTTCATATTCATAAAATTTATAAAAAAAAAATTAAAAATAAAATACTTTGAGACGTGGGATCTACGGTCAAACGGTGAGTGGCTCCCTTGATCAAAATTGGATGGCTGATAGGGATCTTCTACGCTGTAGGGAAAGTATAGAAACCTTTTCCCCATAAGTCAGGAAGCCTAAATACAAGTACGATGAAATTATTTTTGGTGTGGCGGGGTACAAAAATGGAAGGGGGAGTTCTTCCATTTTTGTAAACATGGGGAGTTCCCAAATCGGTCCAAGACAGAAAAGTTTAACATAAAAATGGACCAAGTAGAGTGAAAAAAAAATTCATACCGAATCCCATGAAGGACTTATTTAAGGTGAAAGTATTTTCACAAAAACCTTTTCGTGCGAACCTAGCACAACATTACAAATTTGGAAATAGATTTGGGGAGAATTTGAAATTCAAAGGAAATATGGATTTTATAGGGAGATTTGGAACGTTTTGAATTCAGATAATTAGAGTAGAAAAATGGTTTGATAGGGCTGCAGTCCTATCAAAATAAACAAATCTTCATCTCATAATTTAGGAAAAATTGCAATTACAAATATTCTAGACTGTCCATTTTGCCCTAAAAATAAGTGTTCACAATCGCCAAGATTTGTAGATTTTTTTAGTTTTAAATTTTTTATTGTATCAAAATTTGATTTTAGAGCCATCATGAAAATTTTCGATGCCGAAGGTGCTTTTCTGAAATCAAGATTTGAGGTGACGCTTTATTTTGTTTTCATAAAGCCTAGGCCTTATATAAACTTCATCCTTTATTTTATTTAGTAAAAAACTAAAAGATTTATTATAATTCATAATTACACTTAAAAATATAATATAGTTTCTTTAATTTTACAATTCATTGCATACACATGATAAATTAACTTCTAAATTTCCCATTAATAAATGCATATGCATTCTTAAATTTTTCATATTAAATAAAAAATAAATATTATGTGTTCATTCTTTTCAAATTCTTATGTTCCAATGAGTAATACCTTGTTGATCTTGTTATACTTTTATTTTATTAAAAAAATTTGAATAATGTATTTAACATTAAGGAAAATTTTCTTTATCTTACACGACACTATAAACTTCCTTTTACAAGATGAACACTAGAATTTAATTTATATTTTGATCAAGGATCACTTAAATTAATGAATTTTAGATATGGATTTTCTCAGACGTTCACTCAAATCAAGAGATAACCCATCCAAAAGTAGGCGCGGAGATAAAACTCACCTATAACCAACTCAGTCAAAATGAAGGTCTCCATCTTCATAAAAAGGGCAGGCTGTTTTAAAATTTAAACAGCATTATTTACACTTAAAAATAAATAAATAAAAAGAAGCCAACCGAATTTACTTTGCCTTTCAACTTTTGATTTTGGGCCATTGTACACTCAATTATCCTCCTGGAGTGTGCTACACTGAAATATTCCACTAGGTACTTGCAACTGTGCAAGCAATATATCTGTTTCCTTTAAGCAAAGGAAAAACGTTTATATAAAGGTGAGGCCTCAAACAATCCAATTAAGGCGCATCTAAAATATTTATTAAAGGTGGCTGTTTGGATGCCCAAAAATCCTCAAATTGACCATATAAACCTCAAGATATATGGACGTAGGAAAAAATGGATTTTAAGTTTGGGAAATAATGCATCATGTAATGTATTGTTTAGACAGTTAATTTTCAAGAGTTTTCGAGTGCTACAAATCTACTCGATCTACACTACTTTTGACACTTTAAATTTATTATTAGAGATGAAAATAAATTTTAAGACCATTACAAAAAATTTCTGTACTGAAACATCTTCAAACACTATTTGAAGGTGTGCCTTACTTTGATTGTTTAGGGCCTCAGCCTTATACAAACCGCACCTGCAAAGCAAAATCCAAATTATTTCATTTCTCTTCACTGAAGATAGTTCTGGGGCTCCATTTTTTTCGTCTTTTTATCCCCTTTTATTTTGGATTGAAACCAAATTAATCTCATTTTTCGTGTTAGGCAATTATCTTCATTTAGCATATTTGCTAAATATGTTCAAGACTGTAAATGAAGTCGGTTCACTGGTATTTAGTTAGCGAGGATCATTTTCGAAATGTTAGTAACTGAGTGACATTTGAGAGAGAGAGAGAATGTATGTGTGTGTCAGAGAGAGGAGAGGTTCAAGCGCCCACACATTAAAACTAGATGGGAGTGGGAGTACTATTGAAATATTGTTATGCTGGGTTTGATTGGATCCAGATCGTTTTGGAGTTCTATAACCATAACTTTAATGGGGATTTCTATTCTATTGTTCTTTAGCTTTACAAATTAACAATGATAATTGAAGTTTCTTTCCTTTAGTTACAACAAGAAATTGGAGAAAATTGTCTTACAATAATAATAACACAATTAGCGGATTTCGATAACTCACCAGCAATTCGCCGATACATTCGCTGATAGCCTCAAATTCTTTTACTGTTTCTCTTATATATATTGGGATTACATTCACCTGCCAACAAATAAATAAATAAGTTAATCTAAGGTTTCAACCTTAAACTATAGAATTAAGGTACACCTCAAAACATCCATTCATAAATAAAAAAATTTGTTTCCGAAGTCGAAGAAGGCAACGAAACGAATAAAAGAGAAAAAACGAGAATGAAAGAAGATACTCATGAATTTTGGCAAAATTACTATAAAAAAACTTCAATCAATTTAGCAAATAAAACCTACCAAATTAGTAAAGACAAATCGCCAATACTAAACATGCAAAATAAACCAAACAAACAGAACATATATAAGGGAATGACTGCTTGTTAACCCCGGAACATCAGACTTGCTGTCTCCCAACTCAGAAACCACTGTAAGGCATTTGATTTGGAGCTCTGCACACCCCCGTACACAATGCCCACTGATAGTCCATATATGATTATGGCGAAATGTGAATTAGGCGCAGTTTTGAATCTCTAATTCCGTTTATTTTTTAGGAAACTGTTCCTAAACTCTAGGATAGTGATTTCCACAACAAAAAATGAGGGGGAGGGGGGTGGTTGGGGAGCTTTGACGATGTGGCAAAGCCAAGTTTCATCCCATGGATGTGGGGGATTGCTACTGGCACCCTCTTTTTGCTATCTGTACCCTATATTTTGATGGGAAATAGTAAAAACATTGATGCAAAGAACAATTTCCATACCTATACTCCATAAGCACTATGATAATTGCTGCGGTAATCCAATAGTCAATTACTTTTAAGATTTCAGGGACAATTCCATATTAGCCCCTTTATCGTGTTGTCAACGGAACCTATTCTTATCTTTCCCTCTGAAACTCTCATGAAGGGCTTCATCCCACAAACAATTCGGAAGGCATTCAAATTTTGCAGCAAGAGCTGCTTCAACTCAGTGAAGAGAGCAATTTTCCTCTTGAACCACCGATTTTCTCATAGGGGTGTATCGAGACATTGCAAGGTTCCAAATGAAATTAAAAATTCTATAAGGTAGAGAACATATACTCATCACCACCTTCTTAGAACTTCAATGGATTTCCCAGAACAATATTCTCTGTAAACATTTTGAGACAGTGAGGTCCAACAAACTAATATTAAATCATATATCTCGATTATACAGGGCAAGAGTCTAAAAAGGAATCCTAAGTAGCATAAATCAGATATGATGGCTACTGTGACTGCACCCAGTAGAGTGCAACAGATGAAAAGATTGTGACCTGAGACCTTTAGCGCACAATGAAAGATCACACCTGTGTTCCCTCAATCAAAGGTTCTCACAGTTTGACAGATTGAACTGACACAAGGTAAATAAATACCATCTGAGCTCATTTTATTGAAGGGTAGTGATTTTATGCAACGGTTGTATCATAGTATAATGTAACAACCTTCAAAAATCATGTTATGCCCATTTGTTTGATCCAAAATTTGAAATATACACTCCTTTCATTTTAATGAACAATCACAAAAAAGAAAAATTTGTAAACACAACCTAGAAAGTATTTTTTTAGCCTAATTAACAAAGACCGTTCATTTTGGTGAGATGCTTATATCAAGACTTTAGAAGGATTTTTTTCATTTCCAAATTTTTTGGATGGCTTTATTTATCATTAGATGAACAATGTTAAAAGAAAGAAAACAATGATTTTGAGTTTATAAAGGCTAAGATCTTGAAATTTACCAAATGAATGGTCTAGATTCGTTTTTGGAGGGGACTCATTTTGACCATATCTAGAGTTCAAATTGAACTTTCTTTTTTTAGGATTGATTATTGAGATGAAGAGAGTGTGTGCAAAATTTTGGATCATACAAATACACAAACATGGTTTTCTAGAAGGGTCGTTGTATTATACTATGATGCAGCCGTTGCATGAAATCATTGCCTTTTATTGAATAGTAGGAATGTCAAAAACCTTCATATTTCTGCATGAATGACCCATTTCGACCTGCCTCTAGCATTTTTTCATATTGGGCCACTCACCAGAGTTAACTAGAATAGATTCCCGTTCACACTTGAAATCCTCAGATAGATGATTTTTCAGGCTTCAAGAACCCACAAAAAAACCTGGTAATCTAGTTTTCACTAGCAATGAAGAAGCCTTCTCCATAACTTTGTTCAACGTGGGACAGATGCAACATCACCTTTAATCCCCATGAAATTTTCCACATAACAAGAAAGTAAGCTTTCTACATGATTACAAAATACAAAGCATGGTGCCAGCATCAACTACAGCATTTCAAATAAAGGAGATTTTGACAACGCTGCACCAGCTTTCCCATACGTACGGGACAAAATATTCAAAGATTGTCACTCATCATCTTGATTTTATAAAATCCACTTTGTGATGCAGCCCCTGTCCTTTAAATTTCTCAGCCAACATCGGTTGAAATCCCTTCTAAATAGTAGAAAAATTAAGTACAGTGGCCACATGTAACTGCATCTCCAGAGAGAGATTGGAATGGATGGCTACTAATCAATTAACTGTAAAGCCATTTTCCCCACCTAGGATTGAAATTTTCTTCTACCCTAGAAGCAAGAGAAAAGTTGATCCATTAATGTGACCATCGCGATTTTGAGATTGTAATCTTTCTAATTGTAATCCTGGGACAGTTCCCAATTGGCACCAAAAAGGATAAAAAAGGATGAAAATGTGCTAGAAATTTGAGAAGAAACTAGGATTTTGAAGAAACTAATAACAAGAAATCCCAGAAAGAATCAAATTAAGCAGCTTTTTATAGAAGTTCATCCTACTGGCTCAACCGTTTGGATGTAAGAGTAGCAATACTCTTGTCTAAGGTTTAAATTTCATCCTACTGGCTCAACCATTTGGATGTAAGAGTAGCATTACTAATGTCTACGGTTTAAATTCTGGCTTGCTCACCTAGAAGAAAAAAATTGAAAATGAGATTCTATTCCTCAAATCCTCCAAAGTTGTGCACACATGAGGACTGCTAAATCAATTCAAGATTGGGGGGGAAACTCTGGGCCAATTGTGCTTGAAGGTAGTATTAACTTTGATTTACGGAAACCAAAATTATCCAAAGGGTAGTAAATAATCAGCAGAATACAAACAAATAAACAGCAAGAAAAAGCTATTTTAAAAACTTGATGATGATGGAACTGTAAATCCTGATGGCTCTGAAGACCATGATGAGATGACAATGATGATGATGATTATGATGATGATGATTATGATGATGATGATGATGATGATGATGATGATGATGATGAGTAATATTCATACCTCATGCCCAATGAGAAGAACCAAAATTGAACCACCCTGCAACCTGCTGTCTGCCAAAACTATATTTATTCATCGAAGCTCAAGCAGGCATACACACTCAATGTGGGGGGTATGTGGGAACATATCTACTGGCTGCAAACTTTTCAGCTGGTAGCACCCTTTGATGCCATGCTCAACCTTTATATATAAGGGGGAAAAAAGAAAAGAAAAGAATAATTAGCTGCTGCAAAATGCAAAAATCTAAACTCCACTTAATTCAACAAATGGATGACAAAAGAAAGTAATGATTTGTACCATGCCATGGCAGAGATAGTCAATGTCACGTGCACATGTGGCAGGATTACATGATACATAGATAATGCGTGCGGCTCGTATCCACAAAAGAAATTTTATCAACTTCATGTGCAAACCAGGACGATTAGGATCTGCAGCAAAAAAGCCATGATAATGACAAAATCAACAACTCGTCTGCTCAAGGGGTGCTAATGGCCGGGTCGACCTCGGTTCAGGTTGAAAGGAGTGGCTGTGGAACTCGAGGTAGTAAATACAAAAGAAAATTTATTTTCGTTTATTCAATATACCTGAATTCCACTTCATGGGGTCCACTATACACTACTGTAAATCAAAATTAAAACCCTAAATACAACATAGGATCTTTTCTTTTACTGCCAAAGCAAATAAACACCATCCAAGAGCAATAACTAATCTTCCACTACATTTTTAAGTACAAAATATGTTCTTGGGAATTCACAGAAAAATATAAAATATGACTGAAAATAACTAAATCAACTGGGAAGACTTCTTAGATGTTGCCTAAAGTCACCCCCAAAGGGCTTGATACACCCCACACCCGATTCCCTAACCGATGACACACTTTTAATTCTTTAGTTCTTTCTGGAATTTCTGAGATAGGGAAGCTTTTCAGGTAAATACCTTTCAATCTGGGGTTTAGAGAGCATAGAAACCTATTTAGGATTTGTAGGAACCCTATAGGATCAAATTAGGATGAGGCTTGAGGGTTTGTTTCTCTCTTGGCTGGCTATACCTCTCCTTTTCTTCAAACTTTTAATCCTTTAATTCTTGCTGGAGTTTCTGAGATAGAGAAGCTTTTCAGGCAATACCTTTTAATCTAGGACTTTAGAGACCATAGAAACCTATTTTAGGATTTGTAGGAACCCTTTAGGATCACATTAGGACTATGCTTAAGGGTTTATTTCTCTCTTGGCTGGATATACCTCACATTTTCTTAAAAAAAAAATGCAAAGTTCTAACCTAGGGTTTCAAAACAATGGCGCCTTGTTATCTTCCTTTTGGGTGGTGTTACCCCATGAGCAAAGGGGAGAGAGAGGCGTGACGTAAAATTTGAAAGAGAGAGAGAGAGAGAGAGAGAGAGAGAGAGAGAGAATATCAGGGCAGAGAGAGAGAGAGAGTTTTTCTTGAAGTGAGAGAGAGAGAGGTCATGTCATAATTTGAGAGAAGTGTTCAAATAGGGTTTAAATAGAAGCAAATCTTTCCCCCACTTGAAATAGGATGTCTTCTAGGTATGCCTTATCCTATTTACCCAGCTTGACCATTAGGATATTAGGCAATCTGTGGGGTGAGAGATATTAAATCTGAGCCATCCATCCCACAAATTAACTATCATCATTTTGAGCGAAAATTAGGAACCTTATCATCTTATAATTTGACCCAAGTCCAACTTCTATTTTAAAAGTGGTTGTACTTGGGTCAAATTATTACAACCACTTTTAGTATTTTTTGTATCTTTTAAAATCTATAGGATATCAAGGATAATCTTTTTTATTTTGGTCAAAAACAAAACTCCCATTTGAATAAGAAACAAATCAATTTAAATTTTAAAAGATTCCCTAACTAACTAAACATTTAACTAAAAGTAGTACACAAAATAAAATAAGTGGGGCATACGACATTATGTGCGCCCCACAAAGCCACACGTCCCACTAATGGGTGGCACACACATGTAGGGCTGGATCTTTAGTCACTCATCCTAATTCTGAAGATTTTGAAAATACCCTTCTAATGAATTTTCAGCTGATATAAATTTTTAAAATTCTGAAAAAAATTGTAAAAATCATAAAAACATTTCTAATCCAAATATAAAATATTTAGAAGTGGACTGATACCAATGAGTCAAGATTAGCGATAATAAAGACACTCCACTTGACCTAAGAACTATGATCCACTATTATTTTCTCCTCCAACCCAACAAAGACCCATGACCCACAGTCTCAATGCTAGGGATTATGATTGGATTGTCAAAGTTTGTTAATAAACAATGGAATCATGATCCAGAAATGTGGATTTCAGCTCCCCCCCACCCCTTAAGAGCAAGTCTAGAATTTGCCACCACAGTGCAAAGGGGATTCTCTCTATGCACATGTACATGTGTCCCTCCATAGGGCTGCTTCCCAGTAATACGGCTGTCAATGTGTACATGCATGTAGAAGTTTGTTGAAGCTTTGGCCCTTGTTCTTACAGGTACTACAACCGCACACATGAGACCACATAGTTCTCCTGGCCTACAAACACTGTCATTGGGTATCTCTCAGACCACAATAAGGGATGACCCATTGTAAACAGGGCCACAAATTGCCCAACCCGTGGTCAATGCACACTCCCACTAAAGTGTATATTCCATTATAAAGTTATCATTTTTACAAGCTCCCTAGGCATTTCAAGGCCACAAAGGCTAACACAGATCTAAACCTAGGAACTAGACCCAACAAGTCGGGTCGGGGTCCAACAGAGCCAGACCTGACATGATCAAGCTCTTGTCAGGTCCCACCTAGTTTGGGCACGATTTGGAGATTGGCTTTACCCAACCTAGTTATATTCATATCTATCTATGTGTGAGTGCGTGTGGGTGTGTGTGTGTGTGTGGACACAATGGGTTGGGTCAGCCCTGATGGACCTGTAACTAGCTAGGTCCAAATCCGTTTTGGTTCAGGACCCTACCAGGCCAGGCAAAGTGAACTAAACTAGGCATGATCTATTTACAGCCCTAGTTTGCTAAAAAACAACCTAAAGGGAATAAAAGATTATATTCTTCTCTTTTCATATGATAGCTCAAATTTTTCACGTAGTGACATACATTTGGAAATTTTTTGCCAATTAAATAAGATCAGAAAAACCATTAGACATACATATAATCATAATGGAAGTTGTTAAATGAATGCTGGTTGCTCTCGATCTCCTATACCACATTAAATTGGGGGCTATTTTTGCCAGAAGACATCATATTGACTTTATTAAAAAGAAGGCTGATTGTGAGTTTGCGAGAGGAAGACATCCCTGAGCATACATCTTACAACTTGTTTCAGCATGCACAAATGACGAATGTCCCACACAACCAAGATAACTAAAATATTTCGTCCACTACTAAGAGACTGACACTATACAAGTCAAAGGAAATTTGGATAAACAAAAGTAGATGCAACATTACTCAAAAGTCCACAAATCAACAATGTAGCACCAGACTTCAGATGGACAAGAAGGCAAACAGACTAGTGGTTAGAAACCACCAGCGCCTTAGTTTCTGACTGCAGTTACATAGTTATTCCCCAAAGTGGTAAATTTAGATATTGGATCCTCTGTACACCTCTCATTAGGGCCTTCATACTATCCATTTAACAACATCAGTTTAGCTTTGTTTCAGAATGTCTTTATTATTCTTAGAATGGCCCAAAGAAGCTATATGTTAAGAACAGAACCTCGGGACAAGAAAGTACCTAAAATAATAATATCAGGAGAAGGAAAGTCTTTCCCAAAATTATCATTGATCTTGTTTAGATCTCCTTGGATAAAAGCAGCATTGCAGATGTTGTTTATTTTTGCATTCTGGCGAGCATCTGCAACAGCTTGAGCCACAACCTCATAACCATAAACATGTTTCACCCTAACATTAAGAACCGACGGGAAAAAAATAACAATGTGAGTCTTGTATGAACAAGAAATGATCGACATCCCAAACTTAATGAAAGAATCAGCAAATCAAATCAGTTCAGAGAAGATATACTTCTTGGCAAGTGTGAGACCAATTGTGCCAGTTCCACAGAAGAGATCGAGGACATTTTCTGAACCATCACCCCTAAGACCAGCACATTCTTCGATCAGCTTATACAGAACCTCAGCCTGAATGAAAAGCATAGTTGTTAACAGAAACAATCATTTATGAAATCGAGGCAAACGGAAGAGGGAATAAACAATTCTAAAACCTAGGTAAAGGAAGATGGATGATAAGGAAACTACAGATGACAACTGAAGTTACACATCAAAACTAAAAGATTATTCTTATACTAACTTACATGAGGTGTCTCTTGCAAGAAATCACCATCCAAAGAAACTATGACCACAGCTCAAGCTAAGACATTAACACAAAAAAAAAAAAATTCAGATATAATACTTATACTGCAACAAAAGGAAAGCCAGCGATATAATATTTATAAAGTAACTGCAACAAAAGGAAAACCAGCGTATCCAAATATTCGATCATGTGTACATATGGTCCATGCGAGGAACTTCATACAATGCAATGATTGCACACACTATTTGCTTTGGGCAAACAAACATAGATCCCCTCTTCTCCATCCTCATCAATGGTTCTCCAAAGGGATTCTTTCCTTCTACCAGGGGACCTTCGCCAAGGAGACCCCCTCTCCCCTTTTCTCTTCACCATTTCAGCCGAGGTCTTCAGTCAATCCATTTCCAGAATGTATTCGGCTGGGCTTTTGCACGGTTTCACTGTGGGCCACCACGGGCCGACAGTCACACACCTCCAATATGCGGATGATACCCTGGTTTTTTGCAATGCCAACCCTGAGGATATTGACAACCTCTTCTTGTTTCTCAGATGTTTTGAGTTCGTCACCGGCTTTAAAGTAAACTATGACAAATCCAAAATGATGGGGATCAATGTTGACCAGACTTCCCTCAATAGCTTTGCTGACAGTTGGGGGTGTGGGACCGAAAACCTTCCCTCCAAATACCTCGGGCTGCCTCTCTCTGTTTGGGCAAGCCTAAAAAGTGGCTATGGTCTCACATAGTCGACAAGGTCGATCGTAAACTAGCAGGGTAGAAAGGCCGCTTCCTATCACCGGGAGGTCGATTGACTCTCATCAAAGCCACCTTGCTAACATAACGGTCTACCAAATGTCATTGTTTCATATGCCAGCAGCCATCAGGGCTAGGATAGAACAACTGATGAGAAGGTTCTTTTGGTAGGGGGATGCTTCCTCCAACAAATTCCATCTTATTGCCTGGGAGAAACTATGCCTCCCCAAAAAACTGGGAGGACTCGGGATCAAAAATCTTAGAAAGCAAAACATCGCTCTTCTAGGCAAATAGAGTTGCCGATTGGCAACCCAAAGGGACCGACTGTGGACCAACATCCTCAAGCATAAATACCGAATACCAACCTCACCTTGGATTCCAGACATCAAGCCTAACCAGAGATCTTTTGGTATTTGGCAATCCATTTGTGGGGCACATCAACTCTTTCAATCTCTTATCAGGTTCCACCCTAGAGAGGGGAACCACATCCTTTTATGGCAGGACCTTTGGTTGGGCCACACCCCTCTCGAAAGATTCCCTGATCTATACTCTCTTGCTCGAAGACAAGGCGTTACTATAGCAGAAGAGATCTTGGAACCTTGTTTTCAAAAGGAATCTTTACGAACTGGAAGTTATCCACTTCACCGAACTAGCAGCTGAACTTCAGACCATCTTTCTAGCACACAGTGGTCCAGATAGCATCATTTGGTCCCCAACTGGTTCTAGAATTTCTCGGTCTCCTCGTTCTACCAAAGCCTTTCTCAGGTTACAACAGTACCAGTAGCTCCTTCACCCTCGGTTTCACAGGCCTGGGTCTCCTTTGCCCCTCCCAAAATTAAGATTTTCATGTGGCTAGCACTTTGCCAAAGAGTGCTAATAGTCGACCAAATTCAACGCAGAGGCATCCCACTTCCAAACCGATGTGTCATGTGTTTAGCAACAGAGGAAACAAACGACCACCTTTTCTTGCACTGCCCCTTTGCCCACAACCTATGGGGGGGGATTCTTAATCTCTTCGAGATCCAACACCCGAGCATGTTTCGTCCATCCTCTCATCCATCCAACCCTTTCCTTGGCCTAAATCAGCGATTTTACTTTGGAAATCTATGGTGGCGGCCACTATTTGGGCTTTTATGGATTGAGAGAAATAACATAATATTCCGGGGCGAATACTCCGCGTGGATTAAAATTCTCACCAAGCTTAAATCCACGGTTGTTTTCTAGGCAACCAATCATCATAGCTTCAAAGGAGTTTCCACCTCAGCTTTCTTTCAGGATTGGAGCTCGGTCCTAAAGCATAATCGTAAACGCCCAGCCCGGGCTTCCCTTTGGAGCCCCCACCACAAGACTGCCTTAAACTGAACTTCGATGAATGTTCCCTCGGTAATCCAGGACCATCCAGAGTGGGAGCCATCATAAGGGACCATCTTGGCACTACAGTGGCTTCCTCCTCCATCTACATCTGCCACACCAATTCGGTGGAAGCCGAGGCCTTTGCACTTCTGGAAGGACTCATGCTCCTTCAAACACTGAGTTTGAACTCTATCTTGATTGGGGGAGACTCGCAGAATACCATTTTGTGGGCCCAAAGAATTCCCTCTTCACCCCCACCCTAGTCCCTAGAGCACATATTTGATCAGATTCATTACTTGTATAGGGATATGGACGTCTCATGGATGCATACCTGGAGGGAGGGCAACCAGGAAGCAAACGCCCTAGCTAAAGAAGCGGCTTTAACGGAGGGATTTTAGAAGCTAACGTGTGTCACTATCTGGATTTTTGGATCCCCTTCTTTTTCTTGGTTGCTGTTTCTACACTGTAACCTTCTAAAAGAAGGCTTTTGGTTTCCTTTTTCTGGTTTTCTTTTCCCTAGAGCATTTGACTTTGTGGTTTGCCTAGGCCTTTTGTACTCATCTTCTTTCTTAATTTAAGGTTAACATTCTCATAAAAGAAACATAGATAACTAGGAAAATAGACAAGATTGGTGATCTCAAAAATCTAAATTTATTCCTCCAATTTGGCACTAAACCATACAAAGCCCCATGATGCAATGGACATCCATCTGATGTATGATAGTAATCATGGTCACAACCTCCAAATAAAGGACAAGAAACAGAAATGGAAAATGGATGGTAATATAGAATACATCGGGAAATACAGAACATTGTTACAATTATAGAAAATTTTATGGGGAAATACAATACTGTAGTAATAGAAGAAGAATGGGAAAGAAGCAAAGAAAACATGCCCCCTGGTAATTCTTGAGAAACAATAAAAGCACATGGAAAACACATGGAACTTGGGAGCACATGAAGTAGCTTGGTGGAAAGGCAATGGAATCTGGGGAGACCTAGAAGAAATGAAATGAAAGGAACAAGGAGAAAAAATAGGTAAGGGTATGTTTGGCAAAACAGAATTTCAATATTCAGATATTAAAATTCCAATAAAGGCATTATTGGCTTTTTACTTATTTAAATTATATATTATCTTGATATAAATTTTTTGGTGCCTGTATGCCTATCTCTTTATATCATTTCTTCAAGCACATTGCAAGCACAAATCAGACTAGGGCTCCAATAAGTGAAGTGATTTGAATGAACATATCCAACAGCCCAAAACACAACATGTTAGAGATTAAGTATGCAACTAAAAAAACCCACTTGTTTCTTAATATATATAAAAACCCATTAACCATTACAATTCATCTCTCCATACATGGTAAACTCTCTCTCTCTCTCTCTCTCTCTCTCTCTCTCTCTCTCTCTCTCTCTCTCTCTCTCTCTCTCTCTCTCTCTCTCTACACTACACTACACATACTACTATATACTATACGTAGTAGTAGTAAGTAACGTAAGTACGTAGTAGACGTAACGAGAACGAGACGTAGAGTAGAGTAGTAGTACGT